AGTAATAGTAATAGTAATAGTAATAGTAATAGTAATAGTAATAGTAATAGTAATGGTAATAGTAATAGTAGTAGTAGTAGTAGTAGTAGTAGTAGTAATAGTAATAGTAATGGTAGTAGTAATGGTAGCAGTAGTAGCAGTAGTAGCAGTAGTAGCAGTAGTAGTAGTAGTAGCAGAAGAAGTAGTAGTAGTAGTAGTAGTAGTCGTAATAGTAATAGTAATGGTAGCAGTAGTAGCAGTAGTAGCAGTAGTAGCAGTAGTAGCAGTAGTAGCAATAGTAGTAGTAGTAGTAGTAGTAGTAGTAGTAGTAGTAGTAGTATGGTGGTGCTTGTCGTCGTCGTCGTCTTGGTAAAAAGTAAGCTAGTAGTTCAGCTTAGTAGCGGCAGTAGCAGGAAAAGTAGCAGCAGCAGCAGTAGCAATAGCAATAGCAAGAGCAAGAGCAAGATCAGTCGCAATTGCAATCGTAATCGCAATAGCAATGGCAGTGGCCATAGGCATAGCGATAACAATAATAGCAATAGCATTAGCATGTAGTAGCAGTAATGCATGCCATTCAGTAACAGTAGTTGTAGTTGCGGTGAATCTTAATCGGCGTTCCTATTCACGACTTCTGCGGTAGTATTTCCATGTTGTCAGAGGTTCAAAATATGAAACATCCGGAAGCATGTCGCTAAGGAGAGACCACTACGTCGGAGACGAAGCACAAGCCAAGCGTGGTGTCCTGGCTCTCAAGTACCCTATCGAGCACGGCATCGTGACGAACTGGGACGACATGGAGCGGATCTGGCACCACACTTTCTACAACGAGCTGCGCGTATCGCCCGAAGAGCATCCGGTTCTGCTTACAGAAGCGCCACTGAATCCGAAGGCCAACCGCGAGCGCATGACACAGATTCCCTGGTAATTTCTAGCATGTTCAACATTTTTCGGGCAATTAAAAGCGGTTACACGGCGTGACGGCATTCAAGTAGTCTTGTTTTTCCAAGCAGCAGAAAGCTAAGGATTATGTTCGAGACGTTCGGAGTGCCAGCGATGTATGTGGCGATTCAGGCGGTGCTCTCGCTGTATTCCTCCGGCAGAACTACAGGCATTGTCATGGATTCGGGAGATGGCGTGTCGCACACAGTTCCCATCTACGAGGGATACGCACTTCCCCATGCCATTGCACGCCTGGATCTTGCTGGCCGTGACCTTACCGAATACATGATGAAGATCATGACGGAGAGCCTAGGCCTGCCTGAGTATTTCGCTTATAGCTGCTTTTTGTATGAAGAAAAGTGGTACCATTATTCTGGAATGTCTTCATTTGTGGCTTCCGTGTGAAAGAGTGTCCTTACTCTTGTATTACAAAAAATATGTATGCGGGGGACTTAAAGAGCACCCAAACCCTAAGCCCTAAGCCCTACCTATTACCTATGAAGGGTTTCGAACCAAGGAGTGGCTACTCCTTCAGCAACAGCGCCGAACGAGAGATCGTGCGAGACATCAAGGAGAGCCTCCGAAGGGGCTGGCAGAGTTTGATGTTCTTTGGGATTTGGGTTTCGAGTTTGGGGTTGAAGGTTTAGGGGTTCAGGGTTTAGGGATGTACGGATTTCGGGATTCAGGGGTTTAGGGTTTAGGGTTGAAGGTTCAGGAGTTTAGGGTTTCGGGCTGTCTGTCACCTGGAGCCTTGTGAGTTTGAGAGCTAAGGAAGCTTTGCTACATCGCCCTGGACTTCAACAGTGAGCTGAAGTCTGCAGCGGAGAGCAGCGATGGTGCGAAGACCTATGAGTTGCCGGATGGGAACATTGTCTCTTTGCACAGCGAGCGCTTCCGCTGCCCAGAGGTGCTGTT